TCAGTGCTTCGGAAAAGGTCGAACATTTTCATAAAAGATCTACATGTGATAATGCAAAAGGCAATTATATTACTCCAGAAGAAAAAGAATCAATTATATAATTAGTTTTTGAAAAGAAATTTTGAAACAGTATGGTATTTTATATCCTTAAAGTTTTAACCTGTAAATTTGTCCTAAAACTTAGGTTTTTAATTTTTGTAGGGGTCTCCAATTAACGCTGTAGTACAAGTAAAACTTGAGCAGGAACGTGTCCAAGTAAATTGATTGAAAGACTGATCAATTCATTTAACGAGCGTCGAGATCGCGCAGAACCTTTACCCACGAATAAATTTATATGATTTCCATAAACCGAAATTCTGGGAAAGGTGTCGCCTTTTAAACATTTTTTTTTTAAATTCTCTGAAACAGTTTTAAAATTTGAATTCGCTAAGAATTAACAGGAATATTCGTAGATGACTGTTATCTTCCGGGTACATCGTGTGTTACCATGATACTTAGAGCTACTAAAGCTAGAATTTATGCAAAATGTGATTTTTGTGCCCCAAGCTTTCAGCTCCGGGAGCTGAGTGCATTGAATTGATTTATAGTGTAGATTCGAGTGACAAAGTAAAAAGTAGATTATGGGCACTTAAAGATTGCATAGTGAAACAAATATTAGTAGAAACGTTCAATGGTATTTTAGTGATAACGGGCTGAGTATGCAAAGGTGATGCGAAGCTCTAGTGCGCTGGAATCGGATCGAGCGGTCCTGGTTCGAGCCCTAGCTAGGGTAATGGTGTCTTTCCTGGGCAAGACTCTTCACTCTCACAAGGCCTCTCTCCGCTCAGGTGTATAAATGGTTCCCGGTAAATTGTTAAGATTATCTGACAAAGCGCGGCTGGGGGAGGGAGTAAGCTATGATGGGCTAGCATTCCGTCTCCGGTAGGAATAGCAATACTGTGATCTCCGAAAATGAAGTATGAGTGGTCCTTCGCCAGCATGTTTGAGACATGGGTATAGCGGGAGGAGAGCGTGACCTGCTTGGACACTTCGTTACATTTATATACGCCTTCTAATGACCTGGACGATGGTGCATGTGGAGGTAAATAAAAGTTCTGTGGTCAGAGTAGTAATATAGGACCATGTATATGATTATGTAGTACTAGGTAACGGGCTGTAGTGTGTGTGCTGACGGATGGCTATATGGGGCTGTTTGTGGCTTCGTGTGGTTATGAAAGGCTTTGTAGAGAAATCTCTGTTTAAATAATATTTGCGTCATTAGGATAAGCCCTTCAGCTTCTGATCGAACTGCAAAAGTATTACTCTGAATATTGAAAGATCATTGTACAATTAACTGACTCGAGACGTTTGAACGCGATCTATTAAATACTTTTTTGTGTGATGCGGGTTTAAAAATTCAATATTTTACAATTAACTTATGAGCTCATTTACGCTTTTGCGCGCCATCTAGAAATATTGCAGTTTTTCAGAGGCAATATCTCCTCCAATTTACACTTGAAGGATTAAAACTCTCACCACTTCCTAATTTTCATCGCCATCTGTCCTCTTTGCGCCGTGGGACGCATAGGTCCTCACTAAGTTTCACTACCTCTAATTTTTTTGAGTCAACTTGAGTTTAGCGTGATGCCTTCTTTACGAAAGGTTTTTTACTAGATCGACTGCATCAGCAAAGATTTAATAGCACGGCCTTGTGCGGGGGGAAATATGCAGGGCTATCTATAACTCTATATGGCTATCGTGTATAGATAGCTGTATAGGCTGTGTATGACTTTGTATGACTAGAACTGTGTATGACTTTGTATGACTAGGGCTGTGTATGACTTTGTATGACTTGGGCTGTGTATGACTTTCTATGGCTATCGTGCTTAGATAGTTATATAGGGCTATATATCGATGACTATGTAGGGCATTGGACTCTGAATGACAATCTCATTGCTGTTTAGGCC